TATGCTAAAATAGGCTCTTAGCATTCCTTCTTTCTTTCTGCCTGCTCTTTGATAGTCTTACGAATGTTTCTCTTCCTTTTTCCAGGCAGATGCAGTACCTACCAGAGTTGTATTCTGAGCTCTCTTCCCTGTATTCTCTCCTGCTAGACATCACCCTTCTCCTTGGATCTGTCTTTTCTTCTAACTAAATTACTATTCCTGCTTTGCCTGATCATTTCCTCCTTCGAAGTTCCTATCTCTGCTTCTTTAGGGCAATTTGGTCCCTGATGGCTCATTAAGGACTGGGACTCTCAGATCCTCCAATAGCCTAGGGTTGTCATTTTCCAGTCATGCCGCTGTTCTGTCTGTAATAAATCTTAGATTCTCAATCTTGGTGTCTTCACCTGTTATATGAAACCTCTTGATTTATCTACTCCTTAATTACTATGTATGTCTTAATTACTATGTAAGGCCTTTGCCAAAAGGCCTTATCTTTCATATATGAGCATTACCATCTCCTCTTGTGATTGAAATAACTTATCACCATTTTAGCTCTCCCAGTCAAGAGTTACTTTTGGCATTAGGGAGATTTAAAAATACTTTTCAATATTTTATAAGGGATAAAAACATTAGTAATAGTTTTTCAATCTAATTGATTGATTGATTGATTGCAGTTGAACTCAGGGACTTTCTTCTAATTCTTGTGGGGTTTTTTTTTTTTTTTGGTCGTTCATGGGGCTTGAACTCCGGGCCTGAGTGCTGTCTCTCAGCTCTTCAGCTCAAGGCTAGCACTCTAAACTCAGGGGCTTTCTTACTCCACTTGCCTGCTCATGGCTGGCACTCTATTACTTGAACCACCCTCAAATCTGCTCTGTATGTGTGTGTGTGTGTGTGTGTGTTTGTATGAGTGCGTACGTGTATGCACTGGTCCTGTGGCTTGAACTCAGGAGCTGGGTGCTGTCCTTGAGCTTTTTGCTCAAGGCTAGCACTTTGCCACTTGAGCCATAGCTCCACTTGTGACTTTTTTGGTGCTTAAGTGGACATAAGAGTCTCCCATACTTTGCTTCCTGAGCTACCTGTGAACTGTGATCCTCAGATTTCAACCTTCTGAGTAGCTAGGATTACAAGCATGAGCTCCCAGCTCCCAACCAGGCTTTTTCATTGCTATTACAGAGATGGTATCTCTGGGAATTTTCTGACCAGGATGATTTCAAACCTTGATCTTCCAGATCTCAGCCTCCTATTGAAATATGGATATTGTGTCTAAGTAACATCATCTTGTCCTCACCTCCATCCTGGCATCTTAGTAGAAAATGGGGAGGTTTTACCCAGTTCCAAAAACCCTGGAGGTGAAGTAGGTCATTGTTTGAATTGCGTATGTGTTGTGTTGTTTAGCTCCAGGAAAGTTTTGCCCCAGATAACTGCCCTTGATTGCCCCTGATTATTCCCCTAGATAGTTTGCTTCATTTATGTATAATATTTTGTTAGGATTAGTTCCCCATTCCAATCATGTGGTTTTTGGCCTTATAAACCTTGTGCTAGTTACATTTGATGCTGCAGCGACATGAGTCAACTTGCAGTTGCTGGCTTTGTAATAGACTCCTGATTCAACCTCTCAAAATGTGGCTTGCCTGTAGCTTGCTGATTGAATTCCCATGTAACACTATGTAATTAAAATTACGGGTGTGAGCCACCAGAGCCTCATTTAAACATTGTGTTTTCATCTTAAAAAATAACCATCACCTATCTACATATCTATCACTGTCTCTCAGTTGAGAGTACAACAGAAAAGGAGAAGTCTAGCTAGAATATAACTCAGGTTAGAGTGATCATGTTATAATATACACAGTATGACAATTTTATGTCACCTGGGCAAGGACATAATACCCAGTTGTTTAATGGGTTTTGCATCAGTCTAGATGTGCTGTGGAGGTATTTTAGATGTGATTAATATTTAAATCAGACTGTTAAGCACATTATCCTCTGTAATCTGATGAGTTTCACAGGATCAGTTGAAGATTTAAAAAGAAAAGACTGAGATCCTGTGAGGAGAAAGGATTTCTGTTCTTAGATTTCTGTTTCTTCCTGAGTCTCTGTCACCGATTTACCCTGCAGATTTTTGACTTGCTATCTCCTGCTATTTATCTTCTACCTTTTTTATCTATTGACATCTATACTTCCATCTCAACAATCTTTTTGATCTTAAAAACCTTGTATACACTAAGGGCTAGATATGCAGATACTATCCCTTGGCCCCCCAGGAAGAGGTAAACATATATAAGACACTTCGACCTCCTCCTCTAACCATCTGTCTTCTGTACCCTGAAGCCTTTCTCAAATTAGGTCTAGGCGCTGATAATGCTCACTTAAAATAGTTTGTTTTTGTGGTGTCTCCCACGTGCCAGGTAAGCTTTGTTGTCTGAAGGATTATTCTACTTTATTGCTTTAGCAGGTGATTTTCAGTTAGCATGAATGTCATTAACACTTCCCAAGTTGAAGAAGGAAGAATGTTAAGAGTATCCTCTAACAAAGAATGTTCCACTAACAAGAGAAAAGATGTGTTTATCATAGGCATTCTGAAAGCTAAGTCTCTGGGGTGAAAGTAAGAGTTAGGTTCTATAAACTCTAAAGCTAATACAATTTGAAAGGCCCTCTTCAAGGGAAAAAGGAATACCAGGAAGTTCACTCTGAAATGAGAATTGTTTGATCACATGTGAATACTTTGCCTGGGCCTTTAACAGAAAGGGAGGCACCTTGAAGTTAAACTCCTTTAATCTCAAGGAAAATCTGGTTCTAAGCTTTTTGAGTGGGGACTACACAAGAGACAGAAGCTGTGTCTGGCCTGGTTCCAGCTGTTTAGAGAAGATACTTTTCCTTTCTCCAAGATCCAGTCTCCTGCCACAGTCTTGCCAGAACTCCTCTCTGTGTCTCTCCATTGGCTTGTGATTTTTGTTGTTTTTTGTTTTTTCTGGGTCTGGTCGTGGGGCCTGAACTCTGGGCCTGGGCGCTGTCCCTCCACTCTTCAGCTCAAGGCTAGCGCTCTACTACTTGAGCCACAGCGCCACTTCCGGCTTTTTTCTTTTTGCTTATGTGGTGCTGAGGAATCGAACCCAGGGCCTCAGGCATGCAAGGCAAGCACTCTACCACTGAGCCACCTTCCCAGCCCCATTGGCTTGTTTTTTTAATGCTAACCCCTTGCTTGTGTCTCCAGTGACCCCTGATCACATTTTGTAAATGTTTCTTTATAAGGCAATAACATTACACCAGCATTATTTTCAAATAATGGTGTACACATTCATCAAAGCTCTCTGAAAACCTGTAGACTTGACTGTACTTGTGTGTGTGTGTGTATGTGTGTGTGTGTGTGTGTGTCCTGAGGCTTGAACTCAGGGCTTGGACACTGTCCCTGAGCTTCTTTTGCTCAAGGCTAGCATTCTACCACTTGAGCCGCAGCTCTACGTCTGGCTTTTTCTCTGATTGAGTCAAGTTAACAGTCTCATGGACTTTCCTGTCCAGGCTGGCTTTGAACCATGATCCTCTCATCTCAGCCTCTTGAGTAGCTAGGATTGTAGGCAATGGCACCTGGCTTTTCACTATACCAACCTCCCTTCTTTACTTCTTTCTTCTTATTCTTCCTTACTTTCTGTGCTGGTACTGGGGCTTGAACTCAGAGCTTCAAGCTCTTACTTGGCTTTTTCACTTAGGGCTGGTGTTCTACCACTTGATCCATAGCTCCACTTCCAGCTTTTTGGTGATTAATGAGATAAGAGTCTCACAAATTGATCTGTCTGAGCCGGCTTCTGTGAACCTTAGATCTCAGCCTCCTCAGTGTTGAGGATTATAAGTATGAGCCACCAGTACCTGGCTTCTTGAAGCTTTCTATTCTTTAATGAGATCAGTCTCTGCTGATTGATGGCTACCTTTCTCTATACCCTTGGCCAGCATCTCCTCTGTTCGTGCTGCCTCTTCAGACTTCCAAATGCTGGGTGTCTCCCCTTCATTTGAACTGACTCATTTGGCTTTCTCATTGTACTCAGGGTTGAGTCATGTTATGTGGTTTTCCTTCATTTATTTCAGTGAGTTTACTAGTATCTCAATGAATGGCTGAAATTTTCTACAAATTCCATGGCATGGTATCTTCAACGATGAGTCCTTACATCATCAGAATCCTGGGGGTGCTTGGCACCCCTCCCCCACCATTTCTTGGACATTCTCCCTCTCTTCCTCCAGTTGACATCTAGCCTTTTCTTTGATCCTCAACCCTCCCTGCTCAGTCAGCAACACAGACATGATGTGTGCATTAGAGACTTTATTGACAGAGTTAGAACAATGAAGTTGTTTGGTACCACAGCAAGCAACAAGTCATGTTTTAGAAATTATGTTTTAAAATCCTTTATGTTTAAAATTATCCTCATTTCTTACAACCATATTTGGGAATTCCTTCCTGGCCTCTTTTCTCTTCTGATGTAAGCTCCTGGCTAATGTACTTGCCCTCTCCTTCCTTGTCACCCATCTCCTCATCCCTTTCCTTCTCAGTAGACAGAGTAGCCTTTAAGATTAAAATAATAAAAAGTCATCTAAATTTCGTATGACTAAAACACAAAGAAATGAAGACATCATCTCACTACTATACACAAAAGGAACCATTCTCTTTCACATATTGAAACTCTTCAACTGTAGGCACACAAAGACACACTCACTCTGCTCTGTTGACACTGATAGAACCTTCTCAGACCCCCAATTCATCTCCCCCAGTTCCTTGTTTCTTTCTTCTTCTTGGAACCCAAAGACTGTTGGAGAAAAGCACTAGCCTTTGTTTGACTGCAGCCACATGAATAAGTCACTAACCTGGTGAAAACAGATTAAAAAGTCATCCTTGAAGCTGGTATATGGCAACAAGTACCATAATTCCTGGGGTGGAAAGCTGCGCTGTAGATTCCAGAACACCTCTGTGCTCTGCCTGTGCTGTGCACACCTGAAAGTCTTCTTCTGAGGGGCCTAGCACAAGGCAGTTTCTGTCTCTAGACACTTCTGTCCTGCAGTGTGGACTCTGGACAGAGCTTCTCCAGCTCTTCACCAGTGGAGTCTGTAGGACACAGATGGTATCTGGCATCCGATGCTTCTTTCCAAGAGGAACAGTGATGGCAGCAGAGGCTGCAGAGGCCATAGATAGCAGCCAGTATGAGGCCTCCTAAGCCCAGGTGCCAGCAGAAGAAGGTGGTGAGGAAGGCCAGGTCCATGGGGTTGTCTCCTTGCCAGTGCTGTCCGGAAGGAGGCACATACAGCACCAAGCACAGCTGGAACATCCAGGTGCTGAGCACCAGCCCCATCCACACCTTAAACACCCAGATCATGGGATCGTGAGGGACCCAGACTTCAATGCTGGACGCCAGGCCTACCAGGAAAGTGGGGATCATGAATAGCACATGCACACGGATCTCCAACACGCTCTTGTTCTCAATGTGGGTGTACATCAACAGCACGACCACATAGAAAGCCAGGGCCTCGGCAGCTCGTTCCAGCTTCCTATTCTGCTGGGCCAGCCACTTCTGGCTCACGGTATTTACCACAGCACTGAGCAGAAAGAACCCAAACATCGTGACATGCTGCCAGTTGTCCTTGAACACAAACGGCCGCTGCGGGTTCTCCCAGTCTATCATCTGCAGTCGGTTTGTCCCTGGGGGATAATAAAACTCACATAAGATGCCAGTGACACAGGCGATCACCTTTATTGCTTCCTCCAATGGTACCTGCTGCCACAGCTTAAGTCTTCGCTTCTCCCTGGGGAGCAGGGGTGGCTTGTAGAGCTGCTGTCCCCGTAGTAGAGCCAGAGATATCAGCACTGAATGGTAGAGTGAGAAGAAGAGGAAAATTGTGCCTGGCAGAAGGTGACCCTCCAGACTTCCCATGGCTCCTCCGTGTGTGTCTCCAATAATGAGATGAGAGCTGGTAGATGAGAAGTCCCTTCACTGGCTGTTTTTACAAACCTCTCTGAGCATCTGAAACCCCAGGAGTCTAACTTTGCTTTCCCTGTCATTGGCGACACCTGTGCCACTCCCAGGGTGGAACCTGTGGAAGAAATGTGATGATTTAGTCATCTCATTGGTTTCACAACTGAAATCTCCTTGGCTGTGACCTCAGCAGGCATCTGGCTGCAGATAATGCTTTGTCCCTTCTGGCCTGGGCTGCAGCCCTGTATGGAGGGAGGAAGTGGGGGGAAGACTGACTCTGGCACTAACTGTTGGAGACGGGTGTGTTATCTATTTTTTCTCACAACAACTCTATGAAAGAGGTTTGTTGAAACAGATTTGACAAGTGACATGAAGCTTAGAGGAGCAATAGGACCTACACAAGATAATATATTCCTAGCAGCAAATACAGCAGAAGTGGAGCACGAACCCAGGTCTTATTACATAGTTCAGTGTTCACAGCATAAGGATTGAAATTCAGCTCCCACATTTGCAGTTTCTGTGACTTTGGGCAAGGTAGGGTAACTTATTCTGTCTTCTTTTTTTCCTGCTGGGTGCTTGCTGGTGGCTCACACCTTTAATGCTAGCTACTCAGGAAGCTGACAACTGAGGATTGTGGTTCAAAGCCAGCTTGAGCAGGAAAGTCTCCAAGACTTATCTGCAATTAACCACAAAAAAAGCTGGGAGGGGAGCTATGGCTCAAGTAGTAGAGCACCAGCTTTGAGTGAAAAAGCTGAGATAAGAGCCAAAGTTCTGAGTTCAAGCTCCAGTACACACACACACACACACACACACACACACGTGAAAAACAAAACCGCTTCTTTACTATAGAATGGGCATAATGATTTCTTCATAAGTTTTATTGTGAAGATTCAATAGGATAATATAGGTCTAGTGTCTGATATACAGCAAATATTAAGCAAATGGTACTGATTATTTATAAGTTGACTTTTATTTGGCAGTATTGAAGTTTGAACTCCAGATTTTGAGCTTGAAAATGTCTTGACAGAAACTCAAACTCTGAGCTGTATCTCCAAGCTTCTTTTTTGTGATGGTTAATTTTGAGATAGAGTCATGCTTCCTGCCCAGATATATATCTGAATTGTGACCCACATGTATTATTAAACTTCCTGTTGTAGCTAGGATAATAGCATATGTCATTACACCCATTCTCAATCAAAACCAGGGTCTCTTGAAGTTTTATGCCTGGACTGGCTTCAAACTGCAATCCCATTCTCAAAGTAGCTAGAATAACTTCCTTCCTTCCTTCCTTCATTTCTTTCTTCTTTCTTTCTTTTCTTTTTTTTGTTTTTTCTTTTCTTTTCTTTCTTTCTTCTTCTTTTTCTTCCTTTCCTTCTTTGTTTCTTCTTTCTTTAATTTTCTCTCTGTCTCTCTTGTGCTAGTACTAGGGCACAAACTCAGAGTCTTATTCTCTTATTTGGCTTTTACTGCTCAAGGCTCTACCACTTGGGCCACAGCTCTACTTTTAGCTTTTTTGCTGATTAACTGGCAGCTTTGAATCATAGGTTCTCAGATCTGTCTTCTGAGTAGCTAGGACTACAGGTATGAGCCACCAGCACCCAACTAGGATAATTTTACTTTAGTTATTACTATCATTCCTTGCTAAATTACTGTAGTCCTGAATACTTTACTTATTTTCTATGAATGATGCCAAAGTACATTTTATATTTTTGAAAGTTTTGGTCAAGAAAAATGAAATATTGCATTTATTTATTAATTTATAGTTTAAAACAAAATTTTCCAAAAAGAAAATATGCTGCAAAAATTTCCCCTTGTATATAACAAAGTATTAGACTCTTGACCATGTAAAGATCTCTTAAAAGACAAGCAAAAGTGTCAGGTGCCAGTGGCTCATGCCTGTAATCCTAGCTATTTAGGAGGCTAAAATCTGAGAATTGCGATTTGAAGCCAGCTCATTCAGGAAAGTCCATGAGACTCTCAATTTTCAGTTATCCATCAAAAAGCCAGGTGTGGGATTTGTGGCTCACGTGGTAGAGCACTAGCCTTGAGAGAAAAAGTTAAATGACAGCACCCCAGCCCTGAGTTCTAGCCCCAGTACCAACATTTTTTAAAAAGACACTTCACCAGAAAACTGAGTAAAGGATATAAAATATGTATTACTACCAAGAAAACCTACAGGTGCCTAAAAACACATGAAATTCAAGACATTAAGCTATCCAGGTGACAACTCTCCCATGATACTCATTGCAAAATTATTGTTTGTGACTATCTAAACTTCATGTGTTGAAACTTCAATCCCTCCTATGAAGATATTGGAGGTGGGGCACCTGGGAGACATTTACACTTAGGTAAGGTCATAAAGGTGAAGCAATGAAGATACAGGCATTGTAAGAAGAGGAAGACAGAGACTATCTATGAACTAGCACTGAAGAAACACTAAAAACACACGACAAGGGAGTCACCTGCAACTTGGAAGACAACCCTGACCAGATCCTAGCCAGCCTGGGTTCAGACTGGTCTCAAACATACAGCCTCCAGAACTAGGAGAAATAAACATCTGTTCTGTAAGACACCCATTCCATGATAGTTGTAACAGACAAGCTGAGGACAGAATTGGGGAACTATGAAGTTGAATATTGTTGTAACAAATGCCTAAAACAGTGGAAGTAACTTTGGAACTGGGTAATTGGGTGAAGGTTGTTACAGTGTTGAGGGGCCTGCTAGAAAAAAGGTGTCATTGCTGTGAACTTTTTTTTTTCCATTTTGACATGTCCATTTATGTATATAATTCATATTGATCAGAGACATCCCATCTGTCAGTCTTAGCAAGTTTCCTTGTCATTTTCATGCATGTACAAAAAACATTTTGACTAGGTTTTCCCTCCTTTTCTTCTCTATGTCTCCCCTCATCCCACTAGGACCTATACCCAAGACATGTTTCAATTTCCTAATATTCATTTTTTGTTAAAGTACATACTAGTTGTTCAAAGGGGTTTCACCATAGTATCACACACACACACACACACACACAAACACACACACACACACACATCCTGTATTATTTATGTAAATCCTTATACTTTAGGTTTAACATCTACGTATGAGAGAAAACGGGGGATATGAGTCCTTCTGAACCTGGCTTACTTTGTTTAATCTGGTGGCTTCCAGATCCATCTATCATTTCCCTGCAAATGACATAATTTCATTATTCTTTATGCTTGAATAATATTCATCTGGAATATTCCATTTCAAAATTTCTTTTTTTGGTCCGGTTGTGGGGCCTGAACTCCGGGCATGGGCGCTGTCTCTCAGCTCTTCAGCTCAAGGCTAGACCTCTACTCCTTGAGCCACAGTGCCACTTCTGGCTTTTTTTTCTTATGTGGTGCTGAGGAATCAAACCCAGGGCCTCTGGCATGCAAGGCAAGTGCTCTACCACTGAGCCACCTTCCCAGCCCTCCATTTCAAAATTTCTTGATCCAACCATCAGTAGGGTATTTGGGCTGTTTCCATAGCTTGGCTATTGTGAATAGTGCTGTGGGAAACATGGTGGTACAGCTGCCTCTGTTATACATTCCTTCAGATACATACCCAATAGTGGCATTGTTGGATTATAAAGTAGTTCTGTTTTTCAGGTTTATGAGGAACCTTCAAACTGATGTTTATAGTGATTGTGCTAATTTACAGTCCTGCCAACAGTCTATGAAGGTGCTGTTCCTTCATATCCTGATTAATGTTTATTGTAGTTTGTTGCAAACTGACTAAAAAGTGTGTGTGTGTGTGTGTGTGTGTGTGTGTGTGTGTGTGTGTGTTAGTGAGGGTTAAAATGAAGGCCTTATGTATGGTAGGCCAAACTGACTTTTAACAGTTAAATCTAATAAGGTCTCAGAGAGGAAAGAGCTGTGGAGAAAGCGTTCATCATCTTAGAAAATACACAATTAATTATGACCTGAATGTTGGTAGAAAGTTTGGATGGCGAAGACCATACTGGGGAGGACTTTGACAGATCACTCAGCAATGGAGGAAAGGCCATCTTGATTATAAAGCAGCCCTAAATGTGGACAAATCATGCTCATGTTCCAGGTACAACTTGTAAATGACAAAACTGAATGTCTAGATGAGGAAATGTCTGAGTGAAGTGTTAGCAAGAGTAACTTTATTTCTCTTCATTGCTTATAGTAAAATAGGAGATAAGTGATAGGAAGAAAGAATTGCTAAACAGAAAGGAACCAGAATTTACAGATTGGTAAAATCCACGTTTTGAAAAATAAGAAAGCAAGTTCTGAAGAAAACAAAGGCTTAAGGCTATGTCTCAATAATCCTTTGAAGCAGAGATAACATGGGTGTGGACCACAGATCTAGTAAGTTACCCTTCAGAAACATTGCCAGCCTGAGCTGAGGGGAACACATGTAATAGGAAACCATGTAATGCTGTTTGACTACTTAGCTCTGACAGGAGCTGGTCATGGAGTTCTTTGGCTATAAGACAAAGGACAGCAGGTCTCCCACAAGTGATTCCAGAATCTGTAGGGTTATGTCCTTGATTTCACAAGGATTTCATACTCTGTAGCCCAGGCTAGTCAGAACCCTCTTACCTTCATCTCTTTCCATCTTCCAAGTGGGTACCACCACATTTGGCTAATCACTTTGTTTGTTTGGTAGTACTGGAATTTGATCTCAGGGCCTCAAACTTGTAGTAGAGCAGGTACTCTACTATAAGTCATACCTCCAGTCTTTTTTTTTAAACTAAAGTTATTTTTCAAGAAGGGTCTCAATTTTTTGCCTGGATCAGACTAGACAACAATCTTCTTACTTGTACCTCCTATATAGCTGGAATCACAGGCACTCACCTTCATAGCAGACATATTTATTGAGGTGGTGTTTCAATAACTTTTTGTCTAGGCTAGCCTTGAATTATAATCCTACCAGTCTTCCTCTGGAACAATAGACTTGAGTCAGCT